AAGAAAAAAATAACATATTCACACGTTTAAAAAAATTGAAATGCTTATTTCATAATTCTAAAGGCTTGTTTGTTTTTTTAATAATTTTTTAAAGTTAAAAAATATAATTTATTTTTTTATGATGAATTTTTAAAAAATATTTTTTTATTTTTTAGTTTTAAAACTGAAAAAATAAGAATAACTTTAAAGTATTTTGATTTTTATTTTATTTTCTCATCTTGAAAATAGTTTTAAAAATTAAATTAACAAACAAGGTATTTTTTTAAATTATTTTTTAAAATTATTTTAGAATGTAATTATTAAAAATTAAAAGCAAAAATAAAAATAAACAAGCCCTAATTTTGTGTGTTTTTTCTTTCATTATCTGTGCCAAATTTGGCATTTTTTCTTTAAAAAATTAAAAAATATTCATTTTGATAAAATCATCTTAAGAGTTCTCCCTCATGAGTCATTTACAATCAAAATCTTCGATTATTACATATGGTTTTACATAAGAAAAAATAGCAATTTAGAGGTGACAAAGGCAACAGCTATTGTGTATCAAGTTCATTGCATGCAGATGGTGTAAAAATTAAAAATATTAGGGTTTTTCTTGGCACAATCTTTAGAATCTAATGTCCAAATAATCGTTTCATGAGAAAGGAAAAGAATACAATAATGTCATTGAGCATTTCTTGCAAGTGGCTTAGTTTCCTTTATTCCTGGTGTAGTCATATACTAGGCATTATCTATTCACCTATTAATTTCTACTTTCCAATCATCTTTATTTGTGTTAAAAAATCAATAGAATTTGCAACAATAATTAGCAAAATTAAGAAATTAGATGCTTACATATGTAGGAATAGAAACAAATTAAGTAGTATATGCCGGACTTATCACATAATCTATTTAAATTTTGTTCTGACTTAGTTTATTTATTAAAAAAGGTAAGATAAAAATTTTTAAAAAAATTATTTAATAATAAAAAAGACCTATTTAAATAAAGATGTTGAGTTTAATTTTTTAAAAAGACTTTTTAAATTTATTGGACTAACTCAATTAAATAATTATATTATTTTATTATTTATTTATTTATAACAATTTAATATAAATATATATAATATGTAATATACAATATAATTTAATATTTATTTTATAATAATTATAATTGCAATATTAGAATACCAATTAAAATTTATCATAAAAAAATTTACCAATTAAAAAATTGTATATATTAATATATATAACATAACTTAGTATCTATAAATAATATAATAATTATAATTATACTATTAAAGTACCAAAATTAAAATTTTATAAAAAAACTATTAATTAAAACTTTATTTTATTTCTAAAATATCTCAATCTATTATTAGAATTCATTTTTTTTTACTATTTACTATTTATTATTTTGTCGTTGTCACGTATTTAGAGGTGTGTTTTATTAAAAATTATTATTTAATATTTATTATTTTGTGCAGTAACATTCGTAAAGAAGTTAAGAGTCTTTAAAATATAAATATATATCTTTTATTACCTTTTAGATTATTTGAGATATGAAATTTTATAGAGTTATTGAATATGATCATGTTGATATATGATATATATAAAAATATTTGTGTATATTTTTTTGACTAAATATAGTATTTAAATACAATTATTTATTATATACTTTTTATTTTATTAATAGTAAATATTTTGATTTGCTAGTTCATTAACTACTAGTCCTGTTAAATTTAAATTATTATTATTTAAAGATTTTAATATTAAATAAACTATTGAAACAGGTAATATTTCTAAAATGATTTGACCAAGTCTAAAAATTTGGTCTATATTAAATTATAAACTTAAACTTAAATTCTAATTTTATGTGACCTATTTAACTTTAGACCTAACTTATTATAACGTATAGGTCAAACTCATTTAACTTTAGCCTTACCCTGCATAACACATTCTCATCCTACATTCAAGTGACATGTAAAAAGTAATCAAAAGTTATATTATTGCTAGCTGGTGTTCTCCATAGGTAGGGATTACCATACATAACAAATTAGCATTTTGAATGTTATATATAACTCTTGAAATATGCATATACATCTTAAATGAGGAAATATATTCTTTATAGACTTTGGGAAAAGAAAAATGCATGTATAATTCGCTTATTCATTTTTAAATTAAATCATATCTCATTGTGATATAAATAGAGTTCTGTTAAAGGTGAAAATAAAGTAAGCAGTTCAAAAGTGATAAAAGTGAGTACTTGCAACTTTATATTTTTACTATACTTGATGAGAATTTCGTGAAAATATTCCATTCTAATTCGAGGAGATGGAGAGAAACTATTGTTCGTATTAGAAAAGTCATTTACTTCATATTAAATTATTGATGTTATTTCTTTTTCGCCTTATATAATTTTCCTCGGCGATGTGTTAAGGTTAATTGTAGAAATTCGAATAATGGAGAGTAAAAGTGGGAATAGATAAAAAGAAATTCACGAAGTATTATTGGATGGGCAAACGATGGTAACATCATATTCATGATTCAAGCCAATTCTCAATCTTTGCCCTCAATTTCGAGGTTGCAATCCCTATCATGACACCAAAAGGAAGCCCTTGGTGTCTCACTGCCACCATTGCATCACAACTCACAAAAAGAACCCTTTTATGTAATTTTCAAGGTCACCAAATATCATTCCACAAAAATCTCCCCCCTCTCTTCCACGAGGAGCAAACAAAACAAAACCACCCCAAAACCATTCCCATGCGTATGTATCTATGGCGTATCCTACAGTCACCTAATAATTAGAGCGTGGCTATACCTTCCTTTTTATACCATATAGTATACCACACCAAACTAAACACCATCACCTTTTTTTTTTTTCAGTTTCCAAAGGAAAAATAAACTCCAACCTGCTATCTACGCTAATATGCACAACACCGCCCAAATAATAATAATAATTAAAAAAACGGAGAGAGAATTGTAACAGCATTTTTACCCGGATCCCTTGACGGGTCGGGCAACCGGACCTGCCGGTGACCTAAAACCAACCGTCACGGCGTCATAAATGCACCAGTGAAAACCGTCGTCACTCCCCGTCAAACACTCCTCGCAGAACACGCCGCCGCCAACTCCCATGTTCACCAGGTACCGTTCCCTTTCCAGTTGTAAATCCCTCACCCATTTCTCGTACTCAACCCGACCCAATACCGGGGGCGCAACGGCGCTGTCTCGGCGCAGAAGCACTGCGTTCTCCGGCGGGGTGTTGTTGCCGTTCCGGGAAGCCTCTTTGTTACGCGGCTTGTTCCTCCGGCTCCGGGGGCGTTTGGATCGCTTGACGAAGAAGAAAGAGGAAGCGGCGGCGTTGGCGTTTTCGCTCGCTATGGCGGCTAAGTTAACTTTTCCGGTGATCGGGATTCTCCGGTTGGAACCGAAGAAGGCGAGGTAGACGGAGAACTGGTGCGGGGAGATCCCGATCTTCTGGCTGAGGAAAGAGAGGAACTTATTGAAATTGAAAGAGGGATCGACGGTGACCTCGCCGACGTTAGCCTCCGTCTCGCCGTCGAAGTAGACGACGGAGAAGGGCACGCTTCCGCCGTCAACCATGTTGCTCCGATGGAACGACGAGATTAAAGGGTTTTGTGTGTGTCTCTGTGTGTATATATATATATGTATATAAAATTAAACAAAAATAAATAAAGGAAAAGAAGAGTGTGGAAGTGAGGTTTTAGTTTAGGGGTAGTTTGGTGAATAGGAAAGGCGGTGAGGGGTATTAGTGGAATAGAAGCTTTCAGGAAACTGAATATTTTGATTGGGGATCAAGTAAACGAAACGAATCGTATTGTAAATGCTTTTGATAGGGAATTCATTGATAAAAAGGCTTTACTTGTTCATCTGGTCCGGAATTATAACAGAATGGGCCCTCCCTCACTCCCTCAGCCATGGCCCATGCCCTTTTCATTATATGAATAATATATATTTAAGTTAATTGAACAAATTATTTTAATCTTTTAAATAAATATGAGTAAAGTTGAGTATTCATATCATTATTTTGTTGACTGTTTTATCTATTGGAAGATAATTTTGTGAATATTGATTTTAGGTCTAATTATCATCTCAAAGTTAGGCTGGTAAATGGCACTCGTGCGGGTATAAAACTTATACATGTTTCTTATCCCCACTTTTCCATTATTCTTTTGTCCTCGATTCTAGTTTAAATACTTTTCTTATTTTATTTCCTATTTTCCCTGCAAGTCTTCTTACCAGGTAAGAATTCTCACCAGTAATATTATCATTGAAAAAAAAATTCTTGACCATTCAAAATATTTTAATACAATAAATGATTAAGATTATCACTAAACTTAATGCAGTGAATTTTTTCTCTCTAAGAAATCCAGATCTCTTCTTAGCGATTTCTAAATTATAAAAAAGACCAATAATAATTTGTCAAAAAGCTTTAAAAATTAAAAATCAAAAGATTTCACAAATTAAATTCTCTTTCAATAAATTGGTGCGAAGAATGATTAAATCCAATGGCCTTTCCAAATTTGGGTATTATTTTAGTGTATACTTTCTAAAGCGACATTTTCCGTCGATTGAGACAACAAAAGGATTGGTACCTTTTAACATCCGAAGGTTACTACGTGGTAACCATCATTAAAGCTACAGCTATTCTTTCCTTTCACAGCAAAGCAAAAACGAAGTCCCAGTTTGGTGGGAAAATCTGGGAAAGGGCACACTTCAATTACCATTAGATGTATCAACAGATGGTTGGATGTAAATCAATTAAGAAAGCTCAACTCCATTTGGTATTGAGCATACTGGACAGCTGCACCTCCTCACTGCACCGGATTTTCTTGCCATAACTTATCTGTCTTGGTGTTGGCTGTTACCTGAGTTAAAGTTGCGGAGGATAAAGATCTTACAAACACATTCCAACAGTAACGGCCCGTTGTGTCGCTACAAATACAAGGAGCAAAAATACTCTTTAATGCCCTAAGGAGAATTCATTGGCAACATTGCAGATGCAGCCAAAGATCAACGCTTTCTTCAAATCCGCTTCTGCTTCCATTCCTACACCTCTTCATGACGACTTGTCCCTCTGGGAGAACAAGCAACACCTTATTGTCAACACCTTCCATCGGAATCCTAACGCCGTTCCCTCGCATCCCGAACCCGAATCCAAACCTTACTTGACGGGGAAAACGGTCGTCAAGAACAAGAAGAGGAGCTATGCCCAGTTTCACCTGGAATTCGGTCAAAGCGATTTCCTCTTACGCGCTTGTTCTACTTGCGGAGTCAAGTTTACACCACGCGATGCAGAAGACGAGAAATCCCACAATGAATTTCACAAAAGTTTCACGCAGGGGATCCAATTCAGAGTAACGTCTTGCTTTCACTCTCTGTTGTTACCATTCTTTGTTTCCAATTATAACTGCTCGCCATTGTTCTGCAGGGTTGGGTCAACGAAAGGGTTATCTCTGTGCCCAGCGTTAACGGAGGTCGAATTATACTGGTCTCTGAGAATGACCCATTTTGTCACAGAAACAAGGTTCAAGACGTTGTCCAAATGATGGAAATTGAGCTAGGAAGTGAATGGATTATTCATGACCTTTGTAAGGTTGTTAACGGTTCCCTTCTTTTCATGAAAATGTTTGGTTATTCTGTATTGCTTTTTGACATTATTATATTATGTGTGCAGGCTTATCTATTTGTTTCTGTCCAGAGGATTGTTGGGTGCGTGGTTGCAGAACCAATCGAAGAAGCGTTCAAAGTTGTGTCTTGCTCCATTGCTGGGCGTTCTGAAGGTGTGAGGAAAAGGGAAAAGAAGTCATGTTCAGCCACTCTTCAGTTTGGGAATATTGTTTTCCAAAGGGAAGTTGAGAAAAGAACTCTTTCCCTGAGTGATTCTGAGGGGAAGGAACGATCACTTGGCGGGGCAATCCTCTGCGATAGACAACCAATAGCCGCTGCTTGTGGCATTAGAGCCATTTGGGTTACTCCCTGTAACAGAAGAAAATGCATTGCAAGCCAATTGTTAGATGCCGTGAGGTAAAGTGAATTTGGATTTAACTCGATGCTTAGATTAAGCCATTAAGATTAGGTAGTGGTGGGGGCGGTGGGATGGTTTGCATATTTCGGTTATAGGTCAAAAGAATGATGCATAGATTCAACAGAAAGAGCCAATAGTAACAGATAAATTTAACTGGGACATAGCTAATGGAAGATGGCACTAAGTAGTGTCACATCACTGAATCTTTGAAAACTAGTTGCATTGAATGAGTGCTTTTAATTGGTTATTCTTCAACCAGGTTCTAGCTTAGTGATTTGTGTTCTTTTGTCCGTTAAATTCTTGGCAGGAAAAGTTTCTGCACGGGTCGGGTGCTTGAACGTGCTCAGCTAGCATTCTCCCAGCCAACCTCAGCTGGGAAGGCATTAGCATCTAATTACACTGGCACTGGATCATTCTTGGTGTATAAAGCCAATAAAAAAGAGGCATAGGAACATGAAAATGAATGCATCAAATCACATTTTGATGATTGATTACATATGTTGTCTTTAATTAACACAAGCCTAAGCTGTTATTCTTGTAGAGTACTAATTTTTTTATGCTCATACAGGCTAGGATTTCGTGATCTCATCCTTTCCTTCTTTCTGTAACGATTTTTATCATTCTGAGTTGATTTTCTCATTAGGTTTGTGAGTATCTAGAGTTGTAGGTGTTTGGGGGGACGCCTGTTTGAAGACAACAATTGTGATTATTGAGACTTTAAGCTTGTAAAGGCAAAATTAATTTTTATGCAAAATACAAGTTGAAGTTAAACAATGTAGCTTTTTTGTGTAGGAGATTGGGTGAAAATTTTATACTAAATTTTATTATAAGGGTTTTGTTAATTAGTTAATAAATTAACTATGATATCATGTAACTTTTATGTCTTAACTATTATTTACTTAGGAAAGATATAATAGCGCGTGAAATTTTTATATTTATTTTTATTTTTATGTAAAAGATTGAGTTAATATTACTTATTATGTTTTTTATTAATATTTTTATTTTATAAAAAAGTTTCACATTAGCTCTATAACTCATAAGAATCACTATATTTTTATTGTTACATTTAATATTTTTAAAACATTAATATATCTATTTTTACAAAAATAAAAAATATTAAAATAAGGCATGGATAATCTACAACTCACTCTAAAATACATGGTTGGTGTAGTTAAAGTTCAAAAAGCAAAAACAACAAAATTTAAAACTATTTTCTTAAAATTAATTTGAATACACATTAAATCATTCAAAATAAAATAGTACTTAAAAACAAAAATTAATGTCCAGATGATTTAGGTAGTCTAATCGGGTCCACTGTTCTGTCTGTCTTTGGTACATTATGAAAAAACGCTGGCTCAACTACCAATAAGAAATTAAAAGTTACGCCTATTAAATATTTTTTATGAGGTAATTTTAAATTAACTATAATAATTAGTAAAAATAATTACATTTAATTATATCTTTATATTTTAAATATTTTTTATAATATCATAGTTTTATTTTATTTAACATCATTATATTTAATTTTATTATTAATATTGATTTAAATTTTTGTGAAATTTATTTATTAATAATAGTGAAAAATATACAATTCATAAACTATAGTGTGTGATGTAAAAAAGTTATTAAAATTTTTTCAAAAGGTGTTTTATAAAAAAATTGAAGTTTTAATAATTATACAATTTCATGAAAGTAACAAGTTAATGATTTTTTTAATTATTATGACATTATATTTTACATTTATTTAATATTATTATACTTAATTTTATTATCAATAGTTACTCTAACAATTTATCAATTATGAGCAAATTTAAACACATTAAGCCTTATTAATTATGTATTTTTAATTAATTGATGAAAAACAATAAATGAAAAGAGAAAAGTGAATAATTTATTCTTTAATTAATTAAAATTTTATAACTAAAGAAGCTTAATATGTACAAATTTTGCTTCAGGCAACATGTATTTTTTTATTAAAAATAATTATATTCAAGTTATGTAGAATTTATTTCTACAAATTTGCACATGATAAATAAACTTTTATTTTAATTAATTTTGATTTAAATTTTTATCAACTTTATTTATTAAAATAAATTAAAAAAAATGTTTCATAAAATTATAATGTCTTATAAAAAGTTACTGACATTTTATGAAAAGTAGACTAAAAATTAAAAAATTATTAAAGCTTATATTAAATATTATTAAAAAAATATAAAAATTACATTAACAGTAATTGAGAATGGGAAGTTAGCAATAGCATTATAAATCCCAATACCCATGAAAACAAATAAAAAAACATGGTAAGCAAAAAGTGAATTGCGCTTAAGAAAGTGCAGCAACTAAAAGTTGTACAAAATCTTGTCAGCAAGGATAGTTTAAGTTAAATATAGACCAGCTATATCTGAAAGTGAAACTTCAAGAAAGTGAATTGAAAACGAGCAAAGACTGCAATTTTAACCAGGCATTGCCTCCATACCAATTTCTATTTAATAACCATCATACCCTTCGCCGACATTCCTATCCCTAACATAACACATCCAAGCAAAACAAAAGTCGATTGATTCAATTGTTTTCCATCCCATTCCTTTTGGGCAAACGAACCAAGAACGAAATTTCAGAAATTACAATCGACTGCCCTTTTCATCGGTCATAATGTTCCCCATCCTGTACTTTTTGGTTTTGTCGCAATGATCAAATGTCAGAGTGAGAACTTCCTCGTATTCAGAAAACCAATCTTTCAATGAACAAGATCTGAATCATCTTAAGAGAATAGGATGCTGTCACTTTAATGATGGTTACACACCAAGCCATGCAATCATCAATTTCCTGAAGATCCAATCTAAGAGAGAAAAAAAAAACATAACAAAATCACTTCACCAATCCCTACGTTCCTAATTATACATGAGGAAAGGGCAATATATATAGAACATCAAAATAGAGATCTCTTTCTCCTGCTAGTTCCAAATTGAATCGGGCACTTGGCTCACCTGAATCACTCGTAGATGCAACTATACTTCTTCTGAGAGGCAGCCAATATGATAAGCTTGAGTAGTATCGGAATTCTGGTCCTTTGAGGATATGCTTAACCAAATTTTCAAAAAAGAAAATTGCCAATAAGGACGGTAAACCGGAGGAAACAGTAAAATTGATTTTTTATCCATAGCAAGTAATCGTGAACATTTACTGCAAGACCAATAAATTGAGATTAGTAACTCAACGAAACAATATGGAAAACTGAGGTTTGAGAAAACAGCAAATTAAACCTGCAAGGCCTTGAAAACAGAGTCTGGTAGCTGCAAATCCAGTGCTATTAAAAAAAATAGGCAGAAAGCTAAGAAAACCTCAAATACATCCAGAATGAACAGCTTCTAACCAAAAGAATTATCATGATTTGCAACAGAAAGATAATAACATTACCAACAGAGAATACAGAGACGTTTCAGCTTGGTTCCCAAGAAAATACTGAAGAGCTGTCGCCGCATACTCCTGCAGTGGAGGACAAAGAAGCTATAATCAGAAAGACTTTGAACAGTAACATAGAGAATCACACAAAATAAGAACTATGCAACAGAGATCATTACCGTAATATGTCTAAACACATGATGAACTGAAAACCCTCTTGCATGTACATGGCTTCCACTCTGTTAAGTAGTACACAGTTAAATACATTGGGCCATACAAATTACGAAACTATAAACTTTGGAATATGTGGATGAACACTTCATGCAAAATTAAAACAAAATAACAAATCAAAGTCTTTCTTTTGTTGTAAAAAAAGAAGTCATATTAGAGAGAAGGGAAAAACATATAGGGGATAAGAAATTCTCCAAAATGAAAGAATAAAAAGCATGTGGAAACACTATCTGACTCTACAAATCAAAAGGAGAAAATCCCTTGAAACAGCCATGCGCAGGGCAAGAAGTAGCAACCACAATCACAAGATTCACAAGACACAACCCTATTCCAACACACAGCTACCAGAGAAAAGGCATCCTTAAAAATACAAACATTCTACTCCAAGCATAAAAGACCAAAAAAGACTGGACGCAGCCAAAAATATCCAATTTCCATGTTTCTACCAAGACCTTTAACAAACTGAGATAAAATTGCTAAAATGATAGGTAAAGTCAATGTCATCCAACCAACACATCAAACAGTTTATTCCAAAAGAAAGGAGTTGTCTTACAATGTAAAATAAATAGGCACCTTGTTTACAAACTCAAGCTGCACATGACATAAATATTTAGAGAAAAAGATGTATAGGGCCTACGAATCTATTTACATTATCCTATTTGAGTATTGGCAAGTGATAGATACTGGTTAGCTATATGGATATTAACAACAAGAAAGCATTTAGATTTTATTGAATATCCTCCTCCAACTCTGGATCAATGAGGATTCAGTGTTAGGAAGAGCAGGAATGAAATACAATGGTATAACAAACAATTCACATCCCGTAATATTATGAATGAGAAAAAGCAATAAATGTCACAATAATATTGGCAGGTATACCTCGTCAGGAGCAAAGAAAGCAACTGCATCAGGATCCATGGAACCAGCTGGATGCAAGGATATAACAGCTCTGAAGACAGATGGGAATAACAATTCTATCACTGCAACCTTCTCTGCCGCAACAGTTCCCACTGATCCTAGCCTTAGTTTATTAGAACCATGATAGTTATGTTCCAGAGAACTCTCATTTGTTGATGAGGTAAGAGTGGAAGCTCTTTTTAACCAGTCCAATCGTTTAAAAGTTAAAATTTTTAGATTTGGCATTTCCTTCTCCAAGGACTTTAGAAGATCTGGTAGTGTCCTAAGAAAACTAATTTCTTCCTTGGGATCTGCTGCAATTTCTTCAGAATCACAACGTTTCTTTGAAGCTGATTCATTAGTTTCAAGTCCATCATCAAGATGGGGAAAAAAACGCCTTTTCTGATCAGTGAAGGCTTTCAGAGCTAACCTGATAACATTCAAAAGCCTAAGTGAGCAGCTAAAGTAGCATGAATTAGCAGCATTGAGAATGGGAAGTCAGCAATAGCATTATAAATCACAATACCCATGAAAACAAATGAAAAAACAGGATGGTAAGCAAAAAGTCAATTGCACTTAAGAAAGTGGAGCAAATTAAAGTAGTACAAAATCTTGTCAGATAATAGTTTAAGTTAAATATAGACCAGCTATATCTGAAGGTGAAACTTAAAGAAAGTGAATTGAAAATGAGCAGCGAACTGCAATTTTTACCAGGCTTAGCCTCGCCTCTAACTGTCAACTAAAAACAAATTAGCATACTCGTCTTAACCAATTTCTATTTTATAACCAGCATTCCCTTCGCAAACATTCCTATCCTAACATATCGCATCCAAGCAGAACAAAAGTCGATTGATTCAATTGTTTTCATCCTATTCCTTTTGGGCAAACGAACCAAGAACAAAATTCGAATGCGCATAAACAGAACCAATTTCTACGAAAAGAACCTAGTCCTGTCAACGGCAGAGGCACCGGCTTGTCCCGCAAGCTGTCGTTTCCAAGCATAAGCAACCACAGCACCATCTGGACAAACTAGAGGCATATGCAACCCCCAAAAATCTTTGCGTGATCGAACCGATTCGCTAAGAACTCCAGACTCTTCCAGTTCCTTACCTAGCGAACCAAAACCACGTGTTTAAGCACAAAACGACACCGCAGAGACTAATACCCTAATCGCGGAACCAAAACGAAGAGGAATGAATGGAATGGGATGCATACCAAGGGATCGAAGGTCTTGAAGGTACTGACGCATGCAAGCATCTTCTTTGAGGAACAACTGGAGAGGCTTGTTGCCTTGGTGAGGCTGTGCGGCGGCGACGAAGAGTGCTTCGAGGAGACGATCGGCGCCGATTCTGATGTCGGCGATGATTCGTTCGGCTTGTCCAAGTTTATCCATTGCTAGAGCCACCTGCTTTGGCGGTGCCTCGGCCGCGGAGCCACCGGAGGAGGGAGGAGGAGTGGAGGTTGATAAAGGTGCCGTCGTGGCTTGCTGCGTTTGTTGCATTTGCGCTGTTTGGCAGCTTCAGATGCCAACTAACAAATTGGATTCCCTCCCAGTTAGTACTTTCGTATCGTACAGTTCCCATTGGGCCTTCTTTCAACAGTAACGGCCCATATAACAAATAAACGGCCCATTGCGCCGTTATAAATACAAGGAGCAAGGATGAACACACAAATAAAAGGAGGGAAAATACTCTCTAATGCTCTAAGGAGAATTCATTAGCAACATTGCAGCGGCAGATTGCAGATGCAGCCAAAGATCAACGCTTTCTTCAAATCCGCTTCTGCTTCCATTCCCACACCTCTTCATGACGACTTGTCCCTCTGGGAGAACAAGCAACACCGTATTGTCAACACCTTCCGTCGGAATCCTAATGCCGTTCCCTCGCATCCCGAACCCGAATCCGAGCCTAACTTGACGGGGAAAACGATCGTCAAGAACAAGAAGAGGAGCTATGCCCAGTTTCACCTGGAATTCGGTCAAAGCGATTTCCTCTTACGCGCTTGTTCTACTTGCGGAGTCAAGTTTACCCCCGGCGATGCAGAAGACGAGAAATCCCACAATGAATTTCACAAAAGTTTCACGCAGGGGATCCAATTCAGAGTAACGTCTTGCTTTCACTCTCTGTTGTTACCATTCTTTATTTCCAATTATAACTGCTCGCCATTGTTCTGCAGGGTTGGGTCAACGAAAGGGTTATCTCTGTGCCCAGCGTTAAAGGAGGTCGAATTATACTGGTCTCTGAGAATGACCCATTTTGTCACAGAAACAAGGTTCAAGACGTTGTCCAAATGATGGAAATTGAGCTAGGAAGTGAATGGATTATTCATGACCTTTGTAAGGTTGTTAACGGTTCCCTTCTCTTCATGAAAATGTTTGGTTATTCTGTATTGCTTTTTGACATTATTATATTATGTGTGCAGGCTTATCTATTTGTTTCTGTCCAGAGGATTGTTGGGTGCGTGGTTGCAGAACCAATCGAAGAAGCGTTCAAAGTTGTGTCTTGCTCCATTGCTGGGCGTTCTGAAGGTGTGAGGAAAAGGGAAAAGAAGTCATGTTCAGCCACTCTTCAGTTTGGGAATATTGTTTTCCAAAGGGAAGTTGAGAAAAAAACTCTTTCCCTGAGTGATTCTGAGGGGAAGGAACGATCACTTGGCGGGGCAATCCTCTGCGATAGACAACCAATAGCCGCTGCTTGTGGCATTAGAGCCATTTGGGTTACTCCCTGTAACAGAAGAAAATGCATTGCAAGCCAATTGTTAGATGCCGTGAGGTAAAGTGAATTTGGATTTGAACTCGATGCTTAGATTAAGCCATTAAGATTAGGTAGTGGTGGGGGCGGTGGGATGGTTTGCATATTTCGGTTATAGGTCAAAAGAATGATGCACAGATTCAACAGAAAGAGCCAATAGTAACAGATAAATTTAACTGGGACATAGCTAATGGAAGATGGCACTAAGTAGTGTCACATCACTGAATCTTTGAAAACTAGTTGCATTGAATGAGTGCTTTTAATTGGTTATTCTTCAACCAGGTTCTAGCTTAGTTATTTGTGTTCTTTTGTCTCTGTTAAATTCGTGGCAGGAAAAGTTTTTGCATGGGTCGGGTGCTTGAACGTGCTCAGCTAGCATTCTCCCAGCCAACCTCAGCTGGGAAGGCATTAGCATCTAATTACACTGGCACTGGATCATTCTTGGTGTATAAAGCCAACAAAAAAGGGGCATAGGTACAGGAAAATGAATGCATCAAACCACATTTTGATTATTGATTACGTCTGTTGTCTTCAATTAACACAAGCTTAAACTGTTATTCTTGTAAAGTACTACTTTTTTTACTGAGGTTTGCTGTTTTCTCAATTTATTGTTTTCCATATTATTTTGTTGAGTTACTAATCTCAATTTATTGGTGGTGCAGTAAATGTTCGCGATTACTTGCTATGGATAAAAAATCAACGTTACTGTTTTCTACGGTCCACCATCTTTTTCGGAAATTTGGTTAAGCATATCCTCAAAGGACCAGAATTCCGATACTACTCAAGCTTATCATATTGGCTGCCTCTCTGAAGAAGTATAGTTGCATCTACGAGTGATTCAGGTGAGCCAAATGCCCGATTCAATTTGGAACTAGCAGGAGAAAGATTTTCTATTTTGATGTTTTATATATTTTCCCTTTCCTCATGTATAGTTAGGAACGTAGGGATTGGTGAAGTGATTTTGGTATGTATTTTTTTATCTCTTAGATTGGATCTTTAGGAAATTGATGATTGCATGGCTTGTTGTGTAAGCATCATTAAAGTGACAGCATCTATTCTCTTAAGATGATTCAGATCTTGTTCATTGAAAGATTGGTTTTCTGAATACGAGGAAGTTCTCACTCTTTACATTTGATCATTGCAACAAAACCAAAAAGTACAGGATGGGGAACATTATGACCTTTGTCTTTGCTAGATGATAAGGGCAGTCGATTGTAATTTCTGAAATTTCTGTCAGCATGTGAATAAATTATGTCTCAGTTTGTAATATTTCTTTTTCTAAAGTGATGCTGGCTACAAATCTACCTTCTTCGTATGTACTGGTTCTCCATCCAAATGCAGTAGAAAATGGTTCAAGGGGTCAACTGAGAATCTGAGGTTGAGTCACTTGTACAGTTACAAGGTGTGATGGTTGCAAATGCTGTGCTGGTGTTGAAAGTTGCCGTCGTGGTTTTACAAATGTATGTGTGTACTGATGGAGGATGATGTAGCTATAGCAACACTTTCTTGACTGTACAACAAGGCTAAACAATTCAAAGGTGTTGATTACTTGTTTCGTGTTGCATGAGTTAAATCGGTTGTAATTACTCATTAGTGAACTTCTTTTGAAGTGAAAACAAGAGTCTATGCAGTACCGCTGTACTTTCTAGTGTTGTTGCTTATGCATTAAAAGATTATTTATTGTCTGTGTAACTTGCACAATTCACAATTCAAATAACCTCTTTATGTCCAGAAATTGTTGATTAAAAATGGTTTTAGGTTATTGTCTTGCACACGTGTTTGACCGTTAGCTGTTCAGTTAACATACGAAGCAATGTTTGACGATAATGGAGTGAGATAATAAAATTAGTTATAGTATGTGTAGGACCCGGATCCAGTGCATTTTCCGCCGGACTGCATCGTGCATTTAGACAATAATTTACATTTTCGCTTAAGACAAAATACATGGGCTTAAGCGAAAATGCAAAAACACGTAAAAAAAAATTGGCGGGAACTATACGGACTCCAGATCCGCATGTGTATGCTTAAATTTGATTATATAGAAGAATATTTATCTCCTTTTTTTTTAAGTGAAGTTTTTCCAGAAAGTTAAGTGATTTTTTGAAAGGAAAAAAAAAAACCAAGTTGAGTCAAACAAATATGGAGACTTTATTTGATTAGGCACGGATGAATGGTCTTTGGTAAAATATGTGAACACTATTTGTAGAAGGGTAGACTTGATTTTGTAAATAAAGGAAAGTTAGTATGATTATTGAATTATTTATCGACGTTAGAAAGTGTTAACTTTTGTACTTGATAAATATTTAACTTACAAATATGTTGCTAAATTGAAGGCCGAAACAAGACATTGTCACTGTTTCAGTCTCTTCGTGGCACCGTGTATTAAGTTCACTCTTTGATGCTCGGCAATGAATAGAAATTTTCTAACAGCCATAAAATCGAGAAAAACAAGTAAGGAAACAGATTTGATCAAGATCTAGGAAAGTATTTGCAAGACCAACCTAAAATCCTAACCTCATCTTTTTTGTTTAAGATGAGTAACAAAGTTACCTTTATTTTTTTCAACAAATATTGCCCATTTTGAAATGATTGAAAATGATTGAAGTTCTAATAATCAATGTAGACTTCGTTTTTGTACATTTATGTATCTTACTTATTAATTGGAGGTTAGATTATGAAAAAGGAGAAAAACTAATCAAGTATGGTCTTAAGAGAGAAAAACCGAAGTACAAAAACTAGGGTTTATACACAGAGGGAGAAATCTTAATCAACATACTATGGTCCGATTGAGTTTGGATTTTAATTTAGGTTCAATTCTTCAGTGGAGCTATTTGATAAAAAAAAATAAAAAATTCAGCGGTGGAAAGCGTAAATTATATTGCTCTTGGAATAAGATATTCAACTTGAACTAAGCTTTTATTTGTGTCTCTTCTATACCTTTTTTATTCTCTGCTATAAGTTTATTGGTTTGGCGACGTTGATAGTTTTTACATACTAAATTGATTGTAGTGGAGCTTAACCTGTTGGTATTGAAGACGTTTGATTTCTTAATTTTACAGAATTTTCCCTGTTGAAAATCTTAATATCTTTTGTTTTAACCGTGTTATCTATTTTTTGACATATATTTATTTAGTTGTTCCTATAAATTCTTGAAAGTAGGAAGTTGAGTCTTTGTCAATAATCATGTACTTTAACTAGTAAATTTCTTGTAACAACAAATTAATTTTGAATAAGTAAATTTAAAATAAAAATTATATACAAAAGCTAAATATAATCACCATTGAATTATGATAAAGTAAAGTGTCTTAAAAACGTAATAAAAATTATATTCATCTTCACTAAATGAGAATTTTATATTATTGAATAAGAATACGTTAAAAAATAAAAAATATAGATAGAAGATAAAATTATAGAAATATTTAAAAAAAAAATTGTTCATCTAAAACACAGACTCTCTCTGCTGAATACAATCATGTTTGAATAGAGTAGGATCACAGGTTAAGGTAGAATAATTCTTGTAATATTAGTGGTAAATATTTTTTTATGTGATAGATATTATCATGATATTTATAATTTCATATCAAAATTTTAAATTGATAAAAAATATTAAAATATTAAATACATTGAGAAAAAATTGTAAATAATAAATATTTAAATTTATAATATAAAAACAATTTACAACTATTATATATTTTGGTTCAAAGTAAGGTAAGCACTTTGGGGATATTTTCACCAAATAAAATAATATCCATATCCACGTTAACTTTCCGACAATTGACTTGTATTCATAAATTTGCTGTAGAGTCAAATGTGAAAAATGCTTACCACCAATTCTTGTGAAACAGCTGGGGACAATCAAAGAACCGAAAACAATAACTTGATTGGGACTCTCCATCAATAAATCCTTAATAACATAGGCGGAACTGGCAGCTGGAGAAAATAAGGTTGATTGAACATGCATAACATGAAAATAGTTTCAAAATTTAATTAGGAACAATCAAATAAATATATCAAAGATCATATAACAAAAATTACTACAAAATTGAGAGTGCCATGCCATAACTATGTCACATTTTCTTGGGCCGCTGAATCTTGTACAGTAAAAAATAATTAATAATTGGAGTGACATGGGCAATAGGAATTTGTGACGATGGGGAAGGGCCAGCTGTGGGCCACGTGTGTGGCAAAAGGTGGGTCATTGAAGTAATTGCCAACAATTGGTGATGTACGAATTCAGTTGGAAATTGGCATTTGGCTGATTCATAGGTGACTGCTTTTCCAATTGAAAACCAACAACCTATGTACCCATACCACATCCCCACACCTGTTCCTGTTTTTGTGCGTCGCAGATAATAATTTGACATCACTTCTCTTATGCCATGTGAGATTACTCAGTAATCCACATCACATAGCAACATCCTTTGCTGGCTGCTCTTGTTTCTGTTCTTTGCTAGGACATCAAGAACAAAAAAGAAAGAGGGTCCACTAATCACTAATTGGATAATGTGTGAAATCATGTGTGCAACGTAATCGATCATGCTCAAAGAGGATTCCTTTACGTTACCCAACAAGAATTTTAACTTTCTAAGGTAAATTTCAAGTCTCAAATATTAAAAAGTATTGGACAGAACTTCAGTTCATTCACTAGATTGGAATTAATTGAAGAGTAGTGCTTATTAGGACGATAGATTTGTACATATTTTTTCATGCAAGGACACGGGCACATGGCATCTTGTCTTTCAACTCGTTCAAAAGTTGCTACAAAGCAGGATCGAAAATTTGATGTTACAAAAAAGAAAAAAGAAATTTGTGTGGAAGATAATTGCAAAGTAGATTTCTCCACATCTACGGCAAGTACAGCAAAATAATTGCCAATATTAGGGGCTGCCTTCAAAACCAATTACAATGTATTTTCACTCCAAAATTTGGGTATAAACCATGGGAGGAAGACACGGCATCAAGGTGGGGATTAACCAAGAGAGAGGCGAGAGGGTTTGACTCAACGGGTTACACATAAATTAGATGCATATGTAACAGTTTGGAGAAGCAAAGCTTACTTATATTGGTTCACGGCACGTGCCTCTTTTGGAAGTTCCAAGCATTTCTGATTGGGTTTTGTCAAGAGTCAAATCCTTATCTCTTCTTTTATCATTCATCATAATCTTTTTCACAATATATACAAGAAGCTGTAGTCCCAATCGCTAAACCTTGGAGATGAGTCATTATCAAAATCTTGAAAAATAGAAGAGTGCACTATTAGCCCAAACGCAACATCTGATATAAAACGTGGTAGAGAATCACCTCCTCTTCTAAGAATTGCAACTTGCAAGATCACTGATTATTTGTAAATAGGTTATTGGTACAAAGAAACAAATCAAAAACCAGAGGACGCAAGAATCCGCCATTCAAGTTTATTGAACTAAAAGTAGCAGGAAATAGAACAAACAAAAAATGGCATGAGCATAGAAAATGCGTCACTTTCAACATCTTCCGCAACAACTAGGAGTGGTCTCTTTTTCCAATTATCACTAAAATATAGAAAAGTAAATAATGATAATATTCAGATTGCAAATCAAAATGGACACACTGAATAGCTTATCCATCGTTACCGCCAGCTCCAATATTTTCTACAGTGAATTCACATCTGAAATTTAATGGTCATGGGTGAGGGTAAAGAGATTGAGATTGTCCCATAACATCACCTACTTGACCACAGAACCTTCCATTATTATCTTCCATTGTAAGTCCACTCAGCAAAGGCTGATTTTGCAAATTTTAAATTTTAGATATCAGCAGTTAAAAAGGTTACAAGTATTATCTGCCCTACATCATTCATAAATTTATTAATATATCAATGGATTTGGCTTATGTTGCCTCAATACACCACAGGTGAAAGGGTGGATATTAAATGTCTCCCCAAAACATGTGAGAAAAGATCATTGAAACGTGAATGGATGAAGGTAAAAAACAAGCATTCTCGAGGATGATAATCGATCGGGGCTCAATATCTACAGCCATTAACACTTCAATGTCACAGTTGAAAATACAAAGCATACAAATGAGATTTCAAGCACATATGAAATCTCTTACTCAAAACACTATTATACCACTGCTACTAAACACTTTCCCAAGACATTTTGGGACAGCAGAAAGAAAAGAGCATGCTATCTACACCTATTGAAAATCGAAAGGAAAAAGGTACATTCTACAAAGCAACAAACCATTTGTTTCACCGGCCATCCGCTGAAGTAAAAGAATCCGCAAATCCAGTAGGCCTTGCAGGGATACTACTCTTACTGTCATCTAAGTCCATATAACTGATGTCCTTTCCTTCTGCCTCTTGCCAACCCTTCACCATCTGGTTAAGGGGAAGGCTATAATCAATGCCAGAATACTCCTCAGGGTCATCATCAAAGGGTTTCCATTTTTCAACGAGTGGTGCCAGCACATTCACGGCGTGACCCATATCTGGTCGTTGGTTTGGTTCTCTGGCAGTGCAGTGTCCAGCTAGCTCGGCAATGATGGATATGCTCTCAAATGTTTCTTCCTTTACATCAAGTACTGGATCAATAGCAGCCATTAGTTTCTTCTTATCTGATTTTATATGCCAGAACCATGCTGCCAAATATTGGCTTTCCTCAGGTCTATCCTCATCAAGTGCCATCAATCCAGTCAACAGTTCCATTAGCACAACCCCAAAACTGAAAACATCTGCTTTGGTAGTGATTTTTCCCGTCACTGAAATATATTTTAACAACAAACCAAGGATTAGTATAACAATAAAAGAATACCAAATAAATTACAATAACTAAAGCTGAAATAAGTGTTACAAGACATATAATGCAGAATAAAATTTTTTACTAGAATCAGTTACTCTTCTAACAGGCTGTCATCCTTAAAACCAATGCCATAAAATAAATCACTAGAACGTAAAAGAAGAGGTCAATGGCAACTAATTCTGCTAGAGAGCTCCACCAGGAAACCTACACCATACTTGTAGAATCCATATACTTATCTTTCAGTGGGTATAAAGTAAATAATAAAACTTTATAAAAAAATTATAAAATAGAGAATGTTCAAGTAAGAGTGTAAGTTTAAGAACTACTAAAAATAATCACCTGCATATTCTGGCGCCAGATATCCAAAAGTCCCAGCAAGCCGAGTCACTACAGATTTTTCACCTTCAGGAGCAAGTTTTACCAGTCCAAAGTCAGAGACTTTTGCTCTGAAATCATCAGCAAGCAGGATATTTGACGACTTAAGATCTCTGTGAATGAAGCTTTGGTGGGCCAGAGTATGAAGATACTCCATTCCCCTAGCTACATCCAAGGCAATATTTAGCCTCCTCTTCCAAGAGAGGGGCTCCAGTTCAAGGCTCTTCCAATGGAAAAGATGCTTACTAAGAGCCCCTTGTGGCATATACTCATACACTAGAATTCTTTCACTGCCTTCTATAGAATAACCCAAAAGAGACACCAGATGCCGATGTCGGACTTTTGATAGAACTGCAATTTCAGCCTGGAATTCATCCAAAGCTTTGCTACTAATCACTCCCGCTTCCATTCTTTTCACTGCAATCTTAGTCCCGTCATCCAACTCTCCCTTGTAAACAACACCAAATCCACCGCGGCCAAGCTCATTCTCAGGAGCGAAATTCTTGGTCACGTTTCTCAGAACTTGAACCGATATCTTAAGATTTCCAGCCTCAATGACATGAGAATCCCCAATTCCACTGCTGTTTCTACTCCCAGACCCACTCCCAGTTATGGTGGAAATGCTTCCATTGGTATTATTAGCAACAACAATCTTTACAGTATTGTCCGCATCAGACGGATCTCTAGGGTGAACTACCAGTGAGGTTGGAGCCTGGAAACCACCCTTTCTGCTCCTGACACAATAAGCATAGAGTGGAATGAGCAGAAAAGCCGCAGCCGCCACACCCACAATAGGGGCTACAATCGAAACCAACCCTTTCCTTTTCGATTTTTTGGTTTCACCAGAATCACTTGAAGTTGAATTAGAGTGAGCTGTTCCAGGTCCACCATTCCCAGATCCAGTTGAAGGGTTGTTGCCCCCTGAGGAAGGAACTTCAGAGCCACCATTGAACAGAGGATTCCCCGCAACAACAGGTTTCAAGCCATTCTTAAACTCTGGCAAAGGAGGAGATATGTTATTGCCGCTCAGATCCAACAATTTCAGAGACGCTAAAGTAGTCCAATTACTAGGTACCACACCACCCAGATTGTTACCCCCCAACCTGATTTCAACAAGAGAAGCCAAGTTTGCAACAGAAGGACTCAAAGTTCCACTAAGATTAAAGCTTGGCAAATTAATCATAGCCACCTTCCCATTGGCATTGCACTTTATCCCTAACCAATTTCCCCCACAAGGATCATTCCCTTTCCACGAATCAACAAGATTCGAAGGATAACTCAACCCACCAAGAAACCCCAACAACGCCATCACTTCAAAAGCGCAAGGAACCCCCGATTTGTTCTGACAAAAATCATTGTAATCGTAAGAAACTTTGGAAGCTTTGAAATTAGGGATTGGACCCATCAACATGTTATTGTTCAAATCCAGATTATCCAATTCCATGTTCCCCAACGCATCAGGGATTAACCCAACGAGACGGTTCCTATTAAGGTCGAGATCCTTCAGAGAACTCAAATCCCCAATGTTACCGGGAATCGATCCGGTGAAGGCATTCCCATGAAGCCACAAACTAGTGAGCGAAACCATGGTCGCCACGACATCAATCTTCCCAGTAAGACCCTCACCCTGTTGGTTATTCAACCACAGAACCTGCAACGCCGAACCATTTAGACTGGCCGGAATCTGACCACTCAAATTGTTGTTGGAAAGCTTCAAAAACGACAACGAGTTCATCTTGGCGAGAAAATCGGGTAACGGACCAACCAAATTGCAGGACATACAAGAGAGATTGGTCAACTGAGTGGAGCCCTGCAACGAAGAAGGGAAGTTCCAGCCACCAGCGCTGGCGTTAAGGTTGTTGTGATCCAAAGCGAGAACTTCCAGACTCTGAAGTCCGTCGAAGAAATCGGAGGGAATGGAATTGAAGTTGTTGTTGTCGAGAAATGCGTATTGGAGTTTGGAGAGGCCGGAGAGGGAGGGTAATGGGCCGGAGAGCCTGTTGTTCTGGAGGCCCAAGTTGGAGAGCATGGTGAGTTGGTTCAGGTTGGGCGGAAGAGGGCCACTAAGGTTGAGGTCCTTGGCTTGAATCTGCTGGACTCTGCCGTTGCCGTCGCAGTAAATGTATTTCCAACCCGGGCTACCACATGGGTCTCCACCGGTATCGGGCCATGGAAGCAGTTCTGGGTTGTCCAGGCCCTTTCTGAACTGCTGGAGTATTTTGACGTCGTTTGGGTCGGTGGCGGCGAGGGAGAGTGGAGGTGCTGCTAGGTATATGAGAACGAGGAGAGTGCAAAGGAGCGTCGGAGAAGGGTCGTCCATGGATGCGTGTGCTTCACTCACGTCATCGGAGCGAGTGAAGATGATGTCCGAATCTGAGGAGAAAAGAAGAAAGGGCAATTATGTGGACTTATGGAAGGGCTTTCGGTTGGGTGTGGCTTTTGAGAATTTCGCAATTACGCTGTGATATCTCTCACTGTAAGCTTCGTCTTCGCTCCTCCACATTCTTCTTCCAACCTCCGCATATTAATCCTCCCACGTTGTAAGCATAGATAATCATTTTTTAATTCAAAATATCATTATTTTATAGCCTATAATTTATAATCTTGTTAGTAAATAATATTTCTATAAATATTTCTGTAAGTATATTAATACTCCTCAAAAAATAAGATAAAATAAAAATATTTTGTTCATTTAAATTATATCAAAATTAAACCTTATGAGCAGTTGAATTAAGAGAATTTTGTACTCATTAGAATTTAAATGCAGATATTTTATTAATAGATTGACTAACGCCGCCCTACACCATTCACTAGCCATTTGAGTTTATTCAATAATTTATTTATTTGTACAGTTTTCTGTTTTTTATTTTTATTCACTTTTTATTTAAAAATATATTAATCGTTATTTTTTTAAGTTGTACCCTTATATAAAAAGAGTAACAATAACGTGAAATGTTTAAAAAAATCGGTACATAAATAAATTTAACATTTAACATTAAAATAATAAATGAAAGAAATAAATGAAATATTAAATAATTATAAATACTGCTTAAGATAAAATCTTAAATGGATACACAATGCGTCTCATTTTTCACACGATTTTTTTCAACTTGAATTGAAAAATGTATATTTATCATTCCCCATTGTATTTGTCAATAATATATCTGTTTAGATTAAGTGAGCGATAGTTTTTAAAAAACCAATCTTGACTAGATATATTTAATTACATGTTTAATATAGCATATTTTAAAAAGTAAATAATTATTTTTATTGAGGAAAAATTTAAAAATACATGAAGATAAACTAAACACGGGCTAAACAGAGAAAAATAAGAAAAAAATCCAGTATTAACTTTACCGTGAGTTACGCTCGTTTACTTTAGTGGACCAACAATATCTCGTTTCTTTTTTTATCTTGCTCTTTTTAATATTAATGAGTGGTTTCTTCTTCTTCTTCTTTTTTAAATTTTAAATAGGATTACTTTTGCCGCTCCACACTAGTGGTTCTTTTACTAAATTTTTTGAGAAAAAAAAAATAGTTGTTATAAATTTTAAGATGTAAGCACACTACATATTCAAAGACTATACTGTATTTAATTTTTTCACTTTATACAGAATACGACTAAAAACTTTTAAATTAATGTTACTCAATTTAATAACATAGAAACCAAATAAACTTCAATTCTACTGAGTGGATGATGAATCCAGTATCATGTTCATAATCTTAGTATAGAATAAACAGATACTGTGTTGATAATCTTCAAAAGGAATATTTATGTAAAAAGGCAAAAATATTCGTTACATTTCATATAATAAAATCTTTGACCTGCAAGAAAGAAAAAGTTAGATGAATATTGCAGAGTATCCTTATACTGGATTTGATTATTGGAAGGATCTCCTTAATCAATGGATAAGGACTTAGATGGGTATCAAATTCTCCTAAAAGTTTCTTTTTCTTTTTTTATTTCACAAGTTCAGGTTCCTCTGTGTGTACAGTATCTAAACACGCGAAAAGGAATATTAATTAACTTTTAGGTATATTTTTCATGACTCTTGATAAAAAGGAACATAAATACGCATTTTTTTAGCACAAAATACTGTGGACCCACACAAATATACGTATTTTTAATCTCTTGTTATATTTATTCAGTAATTAGAGAGAATCTAAACTCAAAATTATGTAGAGATGTACCATATTACAAATGCTATTTTTCATATTGTCTAAAAGATTGCAATCCAGCTGTATTTCCTTTTTAGTTTGTTTGGTCAAAACGGAAGAATGCGATCATTTGAATTGTTTTTTTTGTTTTATGTGAATTACAAACAGCAGCAGCAACAGGGACCATTTATAGGATGCAGTAACAGATGATAATAAAAGTTTTGTAATTGTTGCAGAGGAGATGGAAATGACTAAGAGCTAGATTGCAAGGATCTCTACTCTGCGGTGCTCTTCCTCAATTAAACCCACTTTGTGTTTATAAAGGAAATTAGTTAAAGGAAGTGGACAAAGGTCATAATCAGCTTCTTTCCTTTGGCAATTTAGTGTTATTATTGTTAATTAAATTAAAGAAGCTCCTCTATCAGTGAAGGACGTGGCTTCGCCACCTGTCCACCTCCAATTCCGTGCATGCATCAAATTGAATTGTCAATTTCATTATGTTATCTCAACAAACTATTTTACGACCTGTGCTGATCCTCTCTTTCATTTATTTAGTTTTCCATCACTGTAAGAGCGACTCACACTTGACACGTATGTAGGCATGAAATTTGTTTAAGATATGTAAATATTAATTACGAAATTTTAAGACATGAGCTTAAAGTCAAACAACTATGAAATTTTCAGTATTTGTAAATACTGAAGATATGTAAATATTAATTACGAAATATTTGAATAATATGCAGAGAGGCTTAACTAATTGCATCTAATGATCAACCTCTTCAAAAGCCTTAAGTAGTTGAGTACTTGAGTTTGTATATTAATGTTATGCATCATTGCATTGGACATGTTTAACCAATCATTAGTGTTCCACAAACATACCAACAGTGGTGGGGTCAATCTATCCATCACCTTTAATTTGTTAATAATTTTGAGTACATTTGTTGCAAATTTATTTCCGAAAGTGGGGTAAGGCACACTGCTTGATCAATAATGATTCCAAGGAATGGAGAGTAAGTCCCTGCCGGTGCAAAGTTCGCTTTGTAGTGAACCGCACAGCACAGACAGGACCATATACAGTGCCACGCTTTTGTTTGTAGTTTCTGGCCAGTGAATGGGATAACTTTATTGGGACAAAAAGGTCAAAAGTTGGAGGCCCATCTCTCCTTTCATTATGCCATTTACTCTCATATTCATTTTCTATTTTCCTTTCCATTTTCGTTCACATACATTCGCCCTTCAACCTTGCAGTATTTCATTTCATACATTCGTGAAGATAACAGTCTCCTGAATTAGTAATAAATTAAAAATTATATAAATAAACAGATTTTAAATTTAAATAATCTAACGCATTTTAAATATAACTTGTTATTACTGCAAATTAATAGAACCACTATACACTCATATTTAAAATCATAATATGGTATAAAAATTTAGATAAAAGAGGGTTAACCATTAAAAAAAAAAAAGGCACAGGCAAGTCAAAATTCAATTGATCATAAAATTAGTATTTTAAAATATTTTTGAGCCACTGTTTTTAGTCCTTTGTCTAATATAAATGATTATATAAAGGATTACATGGTGTACGATTTAATTGACGATTAAAAATTGTAGGATAGTAATATGATCAATACTAACACGTGCAATTTTGTTGGGGCATGCCAATAGTATTCCCCAACTAATAATCAGATAATTTTTTTGAAGTAGTACTTTGACAACTTTTTTTAATTCATATATTACTCATTCACATTATATTTTATATATTTTTCTTTTTTTCTTTCTCTCTTTCCTCCATTTATTTCATATCCAGTAAGATGGTGTAAAATCATACTTTCCTTTATTTAAACAAGAAGGGGTGAGAGGCTGGCGGCAGGCGTTCTGACGTGTGGATTATTGAATGTTCTCCATATTCAATTTTTTCCTTTTTAAGATATATTATTCAATTAAAATTAAATTTTCATTATGGGTAATTAAAATTGACTCCGATTCACCAATATCTCGTCATGATCTGGTTTGAAAATACGTTAAACCAAAAAATTAATGTAGCATTACGCGTCCAGCTACTAAACTGATATCGACCACCGTAGGGTCCATAATATTCAACCTTCATAACAAAAGTACTCGATTTCATTCATGAAAACCACAACACGCGTCTTCATAAATAATTGTTTTAGCTTGTAACAGTATAATACACATGCCTAAATTATCTTGTGTTGAAATTAAACTTTATTAGACGAATGTGGATTATCACAGTTGGTCATAAATATTCTTATGCTATTATTTCTTTACATTAATCTTTTATAACTCAAGTTACAAATTGTTGTAATTTAAACTTGCGATTTTGAATCCGGGTATACATAAAATATTAAAAAAAATAAATGTTTTTGCCCCACTAACATGCATATATATACATTTCATAGCTGGACAGAGAAAAAGAACAAAACAACATGGAATATACGTTAATCTAGTACTAGGCTAAAACGATGGAATAGTAAAGGAAGAGTGAGGGAGGGAATAACATGTTGGTGTGTGCACTTATCACAGTTCTCAGTGCAGCAATTATACATATTAAAGAGATATAGATGTCTGGTATGTTGGTAGTTATTATTGGTGTTGCATGGCCAATGAATGGGCCATGGCAGTGGCAGTGGAATCAGATGTATACCCTCTATTGCACGTCAATCAGAAGTAAAGCTCCGCTGTCAATATGTTGCAAACGAAAACTTAGATATATGCCTCTCAGGTTATCTATAATTTCCATGCAAATAGAACATTTTCTTTAGCCCATTTCCTTATCCTCATCTCAACTTCAAACCCAAGTTAATGAAAGGTCACTTTCTGTATGCTATTACACATAAACACGTGTAGACATGCATAAACAACATTTATACCCACGGATAAAAAATATATAATTATAGTTTTTTTCATTGTGTTATCCATCGTTTTTATAAATTTTAATTTATTTTTCTCTGTTTCTATTTCGTTTTTCTAAAATGGTAGTTAAATAATCACTTTTCAACAAAAAAAATAAGTCATCCCAGTATGGATTCTCGCCTCGTCGGTACGAACACGAAAGTGGGAAGCGAGATATTTTGGATTATCAATCAGACCTCCGAGTTTGGATAGTCAAATGATATTTTGTATTAACCTTTTTCCGTACAAGTGTGAGTTGAGTTGAAATTGTACGATAAAGAATATACTATTATCATTGATGTGTATGCAATTGAAATATTTTTAAAAAAATGATATAATGATTGAAAAATCTAATTTGATACGGTTAATAATATAAAAATGAGTGAACATGATGTTACTTTGTCCTCTTTATAAATATTAATTTTTGTGAATATAATAATTAAATAATATGACATTGATATATTAATTTTACATACTAAAATTTAAATAAATCAGACCTTACTTGTAAATTTATAATTAAAATCTATTTATATTTAAAAAATAATGTCTTAAAATAAAATAATTTTTAAATTTAAGGATTAATAAAAGTTCATATTTATAAATAATTATTAAATGAAATAACTTTGATAATAATTACTCATGTTAGTCTTGTAAAGATATATTTCTTGCTTTAAATGATTTTATTTTTGCTCGTATTTATTTAATTTTATTTTTATTGTATTTTTGTTTCATTACTGTACTTCAAAAACATAAAACTAGGGACATATCCGATGAAAGAGAGGAGTGCTCTCAAATTTTAGGTAGTTATCATGTTACTGCATGATTTGTTTATTTTTTCCTTCTAATACAGGATTCGTTAGGATAGTTGAAACTTGAATCCCAACAGGGTTGCAATGAGAAACCTCAGTTTCTTTTTCCTCACTGTTTCCTTTATTAACCTCTCAAGAAGAGTCTTCCCTTGTAAAGAAGGTAATTTCTGCCTCGTTGTTTATACAATGAAACTTGAATAAATTTTACCTCATAATAAAAATTATGTTGAAAATACTGTATTATTTACATTTATCGTTTAACTTTAAGGACCTGTTACTTGTAAAAGAAAAGGTGCATTTTTAATTAAAAAGTACTTCAGAAATTATAATTATTGTGTAAATTAATAATAAATTGTGTTTTAAAAAAATTAAAACTTTTACACAAGTTAAAAAATAATAATTTTCTGGTTCAGAAAAAAAAGCCCTAAAAAAGACCACAGTACTAACTTCATAGCCTGGGCCCAATGGTATAGTTGGAGTGTGATAGTTTGGTCGGATTCACTAAACTCAAATGCTAAAGCTTCCTTTGTAGTTTAGATTTGGACCTCCACAAAAAAATAAAAATAAAAAGAGGCCCATGAAGTTCACAAATGCATGCTCTGTGCCCAGGAGTTAATTCCATACTAGACCAAACAAAAAACTCTTCTTTTGTTGATGTTGACAAAAAATAAAATAAAATCGTATTTTGATGACACAAAAAAAAAAAAAAAACACTCCTCTTTTTTCAACTTTTATTTTTCTGAAAAAAACCGCTTTTGACTTAGTTAGCTATATTTTTTTTTCTATTTATTTCGTGTGGAATAGACTCTCGGTATCAAGGGAAAGATTATTGCCACTTTTTTTATTATTTATTTGTTGCGAATTTTCATTCACTTAATCTAGATTGTTTTTGCATGGCATGTTTTATGTTTAATTGGGATTTTGTTATCAAATGAACTTCGTTATGGTGCATCAATAGTTTGGCCATGCATGAAATTTAAGAGTCGACATCTTGGTGCAAGGTTGATGGTGATGTTCACAAATCACGACGGAGCTGTTCATGCGTATCTTTGGGATTGTGATGCAGCAGGGCAAAAGTAATACGCCTATGAGAAATGTATGGAATGATGTTTCTAATTCTTCTTTGTTCCTCCTCTTCTCGCAAATAACATGACATTTTCAAATTTTTTAAGCTTATAGGTTCTCAGCAACACCATCAAGCAAAAAAGAAGAAGGCAGGGAAGTGGAATGGTTTGATATTATCCCAAATGGCCCAAAAAACTTGCTTAGACGATAAGTATTATAATGGGCCGTGAGAAGAGCAACCCAAAATCAGTATTCAATTCAAAGTCGTACTTCATGGCATCGAATTGAAACAAGGATTTAGGAAAAGAAAAGGAAAGAGGTATGTAACATGATCCGCGTGTCGCGTGACTGGCGCAAACGAAAAAAATAAGGAACAGAATGGGACAAAAGATAGTGGGTTCACATTCGTAATAGCCCACAAAGCGATGATGCCTTAGCAGCAAAACCACACAGGTGTGTGATGTAAAGTCATGGTAACAGGTGTGGATTGGAGTAGCTTCCGAACGAGTCAAATTAAATACATCTTCCGAACAAGCATTGGCAGAAAATTGTCTTGCTTGATCCCCCAAATTTCTTGATTGGATGCTATGCAAAGTTGAAAACCCAGTAATTATCGTTTGCTAACAATAGACTCCTGGGATGAGACCCGTGGATGGTTGTTTTTGCTCCTTACCGTTGCTGTTGGTGTCAATTGCTTGTCATGCACAGTTACATTATTGTTTTGCCTTAGATGACGAATTTGAACTTATTATTATATTATCAGAGTCATTATTAGTTGACGAATCCAGTTAACCAGTGATTTGTAAAACATTTAAATCATTACATTTTATTAAATATTTCTAATTACTTTAAAACTCTTGAGTATTAAGTATTGTTTTAAATTAATAAATTATCTATGGTCCAAATAAAAGAAAGAAAAAGGCAGCGAGAAATTAGGAACGGAATTGTTGATAAGCAAGCATATCTTCTTTAGGCGACTGGAATATTCTATCTATCTCTTGAGAGTCCAAAATTACGACGAACCGACGTGGTGGAATAGGAAGTTGACACCCCAGCACAGCACGTGATCCTCCCACGTAATCTCGTAAACGTAGTGGACGTCCTACGTGGCACAACACGGGTGCAAGAAAGCTTCGAGAGGATTTCGGAAATGTCAAAAAATCCCAACCGTTAAAAGTCATAGTCGCTCCCTCCTTCATTCCCTCTTCCCTCCGCTTGAGGCTTTGCATTCTGCAAAGACGTAACAAACCAACAACACGTGCTTTCGAACGCGAGCGAGCGACCAAGCGAGCCTTAGCCGCTGAGGTTGGGCCATGGCGACGCATCCTCAACCTTCAACCTCTTCGAACGCGTTTTCGTTTCTCTCAAAGGGTTGGCGTGAGGTTCGAGACTCGGCGGATGCGGATCTTCGCTTGATGCGTGACAGAGCCAATTCCTTCAAGAACCTAGCCACGTCGTTTGACCGCGAGCTCGAAAACTTCTTCAATTCCACTCCTCCGCCGTTCCCCGTCCCGGCCATGCGGTCTCCGCCGCCGGCCGAGATCGAATTCGTGAAGAAGCTGCAGCCGAAGCTGTCGGAGATTCGGCGGGCGTACTCGTCACCGGATTTCAGCAAGAAGGTTCTGGAGAAGTGGCGGCCACGGTCGCGAATTCGAATCGACCTTTCGGCTATAAAGAACGCGATCGTGTCGGAAGATAATGGGATTGTGGATTTCGAGAGGGGAAAGAGGGGCAAAGGGTTGAGCTTCTGGGAGGAGTGGAAAGGAGAGGGTGAAGCTAGGGATTGGGAACCAATTCGAGCTTTGAAGACCAGACTCAAACAGTTTGAGAAGCGCAGTTCCTCTTTTGATTTCAAGAACAGTGAATTCCTCGAGAAACTCAAGTCCAGCTTGGTTTGCACTTTCTCTTCTCCCTTTAACAACTTGCTTGGTGTCTAGTGAATTTTAGGGTTGAATGATTGTGTTTTGCTATTCTGTTCTGTTCTTTTTATTTGAGTGTCGTTTTTCAAGAAGAATTCGGGTAGGGACTCTCTTTGTTTTTCATGTGCCCAAAGTCATTCATTCATTCGAGAAAGATTTTTTTTTCTATTTGGAATGATCTCTCTAATTGGATTATTGAGGTTACTGTCAGAACTTAGAAGGAAGATTACTCCCTGTTATTAACCCCCTTCCACCCTTTTTTTGTGACGGCGGTTGAAAGAACACTGGTAGACCTTGGGTATAACTTTTAGTAGAATAAACTTGCATGTTGTATTTGGTTGCTGTGGGTGCTGGATGTTTTAAATTTTAATAAATTTAATAATTCACTGGAATATCATCAAATTGACGTAATCCTTGCACGAGCCATTTGTTGGGGATAATTCATCAGTGCAACAGAAGTGAAACCAAGCTTTGTTGGTTGGGATGGTGTGGATAATGTGGTTTATTCATTTATTTTCAGGGAATAAAATGTTAAGCTTATACATGTGATTTACCATTACTAAATGTTCGGCAGTTTGTGTTTTTAACTGGTTTTGCAGTTGATATGTGTTTTTTGTGCAGTTCAGCATAAATTTGACAAGTGCCTTTGGTGTGAGAATTTTCATGTTCATTTTTTGACTTTCTTGCAGAAATCAATGTGCAAGGAGCCTCAAGAGTCAAAGGTTTGTATGTAATATGTTGTTTAGCTTCTTTTGGTCATATGAATTTTCCTGTTCACATATTGTGCACCTTTGGTTAAAGAAACAATAAAAGCTAGTATGTGACTGGAAGGCTTTAACTTTCCATGGATCACTATGCATGCCTATGATACCTTATTGAAAGCAGTCAATACACCAATCCATGGATCTTTAGGGATAGCTTCTTTTTACTTGCCCTTTTCATGTGAATAACGTTATGTTTCAATTTAGACATCAGAGCAATTAGTTAAGAGAACAATGGATACAGATGCTAAAGAAATAGGGGATAAGTGAGTTGCTTAAAGCATGTTATGGATGCTAAGGATGTGTTCAACATGTGTCATTAACTTTCCTGAGCACTGATTCTTGTTGGTTCTGAACTTGTGGTCCTGATTTGAATTGAGAACTAGGGTTAACATTTTCATGCATCTTTTGCAGGATGTGCCACCATTGGATGTACCTGAACTTCTGGCCTACTTTGTAAAACAGTCTGGGCCATTTTTGGATCAACTTGGAGTCAAAAGAGGTACATAGTCAATTAGTTATATTTCAGTGGTTAGGTTGAGAAAAGTTATTTAGATGATAAATAGTTTATGAATATACCATTGGTTTGGAAATGCACTTGACACATCTTGCTCATAAGCTTTCCCGTTAATCCAATATTGTTTTCTTCTATTCCAAGCAACTTGTAGAAAAATCAAATTAATGTGTCACAATTTTCAAGCTAGTGAAAATTTCTACTGATTATCAAATGCTTATAGTTATTTAATTTTATTTTTCAAACAACCTTTATATTTTCACACCCACTTTCTCTTACATCCATTTTCCACTCCTTCCTTTCTATTTTTCACTCTTTTTTTGCTATCACATCATCCATTTCATATTTTATTTTCTCTCTCTTCCCCCACTCATTTTACACCCCAATTTTGGGTGTCAAACAATCATTTCCCCTTTTCAAGTTTGGTGCAAGATCAATGCTCGTGAGTAGGCATGGTTATATCTTTAATTTCTTTGCTATAGCTTTCTATTTAGCCAGCTTGTTTATTTTCACTTTATCTGCCATTCAATTTTGATGATATGTTCAAATGTGATTGCATTACAGACATATGTGACAAGATAGTAGAAAGCTTGTATAGCAAACGCAAAAACCATCTTTTACTGCATTCCCTCTCTGGGGAAGAATCTTCTGCCCTTGGGAATGGAAACATAAATGATGAGTTGGATTTGCGAATAGCAAGTGTCCTTCAGAGCACAGGGCACCGGTACGATGGTGGATTCTGGACAGACCATGCAAAGCATGACCCATCCGACAATGAAAGACATGTTGCAATAGTTACAACTGCCAGTCTTCCTTGGATGACAGGAACAGCTGTAAATCCACTATTTCGAGCTGCATATTTATCGCAATCTGCAAAGCGAAAAGTCACTCTACTGGTTCCATGGCTTTGTAAATCAGATCAAGAGCTAGTTTATCCCAGCAATCTCACTTTTACTACGCCGGAAGAGCAAGAAGTTTATATCCGGAGCTGGCTCGAGGAAAGGGTTGGTTTTAAGGCAGACTTCAAAATTTCTTTTTATCCTGGGAAGGTAACTTTTTTATTAATTAAGTAATGTCCCGTCATGTTTCATATCAGTGCTGTCAATTCTTACATTTTGCACTTCTTATTGTAGTTTTCAAAAGATAGACGGAGTATAATACCTGCTGGAGATACTTCTCAATTTATACCATCCAGGGATGCTGACATTGCTGTCCTGGAAGAACCGGAACATTTGAATTGGTATCATCATGGTAAGCGTTGGACAGACAAATTCAACCATGTTGTTGGTATTGTCCACACAAATTACTTAGAATACATCAAGAGGGAGAGAAATGGGGCACTCCAGGCATTCTTTGTGAAACACATAAACAACTGGGTTACAAGAGCATACTGCCACAAGGTATGAGATTTTATCATCCTAGTATGTAAGCTTGGATTAAGGTAGCGTTTGACCTAACTGACTTGAGCTTCTCTTCTCTTTAAAAGTAGAAGCTCCTTCAATTAGTTCCTATAAAAGCTTCTCTTTTATTTTTTTCTGAGATTTTGTTAATTTAGAAAAAAACTACGTTTATTTTCAAGAGTATTTTTAGAATTGTGTTTGGTCCATCTATTCCTTTTAAGGATAAGAAAAACCCCCAAAAAAACTAGGCTAAATGCTACTTGGGAAATAACTAGAAATGATTGTAGTGTTTTTCTTGGTAAATTTGTGATGGAGTTCTATTATTAGAAAATAATTAAACGAGATCAAATGGACTAAAATTAGTTATGATTTATATTCAGGTTCTTCGTCTCTCAGCTGCTACTCAGGATTTACCCAAGTCTGTAATTTGCAATGTTCATGGTGTGAATCCCAAGTTCTTAAAAATTGGAGAAAAGATTGCTGCAGAGAGGGAGCAAGGGCAGCAAGCCTTTACAAAAGGGGCATATTTCTTGGGAAAGATGGTATGGGCAAAGGGATATAAGGAGTTGATAGATGTGTTAGCAAAGCATAAGACAGACCTTAATGGCTTCAAGTTGGATGTATTTGGAAATGGAGAGGATGCTAATGAAGTTCAGAGTGCAGCTAGAAGATTGGAATTGAATCTCAACTTTCAGAAAGGAAGAGATCATGCAGATGATTCTCTTCACGGGTATGTACCATTTGAAAACTGAGCTTCAAAATTTAAATTTAGATATATTCACTGGAATGGTCCTCACATTGTTGTGAAACATACCTAAATGAAATGGGGAAAGTAATTTTTAAGTTTCATCCATTGCAATGTGAAACTGAGTTATCGTTTACTGCCCCCTATCTTGATGAAGTGAATTGATTATGTGGTAAGAAAATGAAATATCCAAAACTGTTCCATTTATACATGCATAAATGCACTTTCACTTGCACATGATTCTTTCTCATGTTTTACATACCTAGACATTAATATGGAACTTGTTTTTATTAAATTTGGTTTTTATTTTGACACTTGTTCTACTTTATTGAAGGTACAAAGTCTTTATAAATCCTAGCATTAGTGATGTCCTATGCACAGCTACAGCTGAGGCACTTGCCATGGGCAAATTTGTAGTTTGTGCTGATCATCCATCAAATGAGTTCTTCAGGTCATTTCCCAACTGTTTGACTTACAAGACATCAGAAGACTTTGTGGCAAAAGTAAAAGAAGCATTAGAAAAAGAGCCTTATCCTTTAACACCTGAGCAAAGATATCAGCTTTCTTGGGAGGCTGCTACTCAAAGATTTATGGAATATTCCGAGCTTGACAGAATCCTGAACAAGGAAAAGGATGGTGAAAAATTGAGCACAGATAATGGAAAGCTCATTGCTAAGTCAGCTTCAATGCCTAATCTGGCAGAACTAGTAGATGGAGGCTTAGCATTTGCTCACTATTGTCTCACAGGGAACGAATTCCTTAGATTATGTACAGGAGCAATACCTGGGACTCGTGACTATGACAAGCAGCACTGTAAAGACCTTCATCTCTTGCCCCCACAGATTGAAAATCCTATCTATGGCTGGTGAATAGATTGAACAGTTGGAATATGTGATAAAGGGATATTTGTGACGCCAGATTATGACAAGCAGCACTGTAAAAATCATCAGCTTATGCCCGTAGGTAGAAAAAAACTTCGATGGCTGGTGAACAGATTTAGTGGTTTGAACTTGTAGCTCCAGCTGTGTTTTTATTGTATTAGGTGCCTGCTAAGTTTGCAATCCTTAGATTTTGTAGTTGTTTCTGTTTTTGTAAGTAGTGATGGTAGTTTAATATTTTACCAAAACACACGTAGAAAGCTGATGTAAAGTTGTGATGGCAAAAAATAGAACGTTCTCCCACACAACCTGCGGGAATAAGCTGTAATGAATTTTGCATCGTTTAACATGGAATAACTGTTACCGTTATTACAACCCCAAGAGCACAAGCCAAAATGGTTGAGTAGTTTTTTCCTCGACACTTTAGCCAGAAGTGTCTTGGTCACGTGCTTTGAGAGAAACGACCATCCAAGGTGTAGGATGTAATAGCTTGTTTTTGTGGACACAATAACCACTTTCCGCAAGGAATAAATCAGTGCATTGTTACTGATTTATGTGAGGATGAAATTTGAGTTTCTGGAAGGAATAAGGATGAAATCTTTTAGTTTTCTACCCAATATATACCCAACTCGTTAATTTAGGGGAACTTGGCATATAACATCACACAACTTAATTAGGAATGAGGCAACAAAGATATTGCTTATCATAGTGTAGACTAATTCATGGGTGACACTGGGATAGCTTTTTGGCTAATTGCATTGAATTTAAGGTTCTAGTAAGTAATTTATATTCCACTGTAAATTTTCGACGAGGTTGGTAGCTTATCGTGAGTTTATTATATTTATTTATCTCTTTTTATCATTTTTTTTACACAATTTAATTTTATTTTCTGCAAAATCAAGCATGATAATATATTTATCTTGGGATAGGGACATGGCAAAAAGAATCTATATCCATCAGTAATCCAGCTTGTCCTGCCCAATTTTGATGGGAAAATCTCTATTTGATTGGATTACTCCAAAAATCATTAAATTTGTAGTTATAATTAAATTATGAACAATGATATTCTCACATTCTTTTATAGGTATGAAATGAAAGATAAAATAGATATAATAAGTAGTATAATAAGAAAAGAAAAAAAAAGTCAATAGAAATAATCGTAACTAAAAGAAATGTGAAAAATTAATATTGATGTAGGCGAATTTAAAAGTAGATTTGGAGAAACAAAAAAGGAGGAGGAGACAACAAAACCTTCCCCTCCTTTACCCAATCGTCAATTTGTCATCTCTTTGCTCTCTTTTTATTTCAAACTATTGTCATCACCAGGTAGGAATTTATAATGCAATCATATTATTATTTATTTAAACACTTATTTAATAATTATCTTTTAAAACAATGACTTATATTTTAAATTTAACAATAACATTTATTAAAATAAACTAAAAAGAGCTTATAATAATTTAAACTATTTTTTATCCTAAAAAAAACCCCAAGTGGGAAGTCTAGTATCGCTATTTCAGCTTAATATGGCTGGGTGAACCACGCACTCCTTACCATCACCTTTTCCATTATCTTTATTTAACCAGCAATCTTTTTCTTTTAGCTGATCCACTTTTGACTAGCAATATATTATAATATTCAGTCTCAACGTCAAGTTGACATCTTTTATTATAAACCTGAGCAAATCTTGATCAATGTATGTGACAAAAAATGACTTGGTTTTTGCTGATGCAGAAGGAGTACAAGGTATATGCCAATGTTGTCATATTACTTTCACGCCCAGCTTTACATAGCGTGCGGTGCACTTGTTGTCATTAGCTAATTAATAACCGTTCCATTTCATGGTGCATGTTGTCATAGCATGTGATTCCCATTGACCAAGTCTACTACTAACACTTGGGTTTCAAGATAACCTTCACCCTGTGCTAAGGTACTGGAATCTTCCAGTTTCTGATCATAGGGGAATGTCTGATTTAGCCCATACTTACCTCTGCTATTCTGTATCATATTCAGTATCTTGTGCGGTTGTGCCGAAATGCATGATGCACTGCTTTTACTATCAGCAAACAAAGATGGGATCTAAAAGTTGATAGGAAATAAAAAATGGGAATTGTTAATGCCATGAATTTATACCAGATTCATGCATCGTACACTTCTGTTTCTTGTTACAGAAGTTGCATGGTATGTGCTGAATCACCTAACATTTGTTCAGTTTAGTATACAATAAATTTAAGAAAATCGACCCAAATGATTTATAATAGACTCATGCTATTTGTTCCCTATCTCTTAACTTTCTTTTCCTTCAAATCTTCTTAGACAGAGGATTCTTGTCTTTCACTAAGTATATATATACCCATGAGGTGTATAATAGACCATTTTCCACACTGATAAAAGGGTTATAAACAAATATATAATTCTTCCCCAAATTAATATTGCTGTGTTATGAGTATAGTTACATGGAAAATTTTCGAAAGCGCTTCTCGCAACAAATCCTTAAATTCAAGCAAAGGCTAACGTCGAGCATCTTTTATGACGATTCTTCTTATAAATTCATGCATCTAATAATCTATTTTCATATAATTATGTTAGTCCACGTTATATTTTAAGATCCAAGTGATTCCGTAGCAGTGTTGTGCAGCTTTCTAGATATGGTTTGAACTCATGGATTATTATAACACCCACACACTGCTTGTCTGAGTTATTGGAAAACAGAACACAGAAGTAACTAGCACAAATTTTTTGTAGACTTTTGTCTTATTATGCACTTTCCAAGTAGTAAAATATAAGAATTCAATGCACGTTTAGCTCTGTTTATTACCTTTTACTAATTAGGATTATATAATATGCTTCTTTATTCTAATTATAATTCTTTTTATTGGGATTGATAAATCGCAATTGTGATTACCATGTTTCAAAACCCTCTCTCTCTTTGGATTAATATTAAATCCTCGTCCTGAAGTCTCACTGTTGCTTTATTGTTAATTTAGTCCTGCTCCTATTTCATTCTTAAAGTCACTTGCTTGGGAAAATATTACGGTGTTATATTTAAGCGGCAAAGTTTAGTGGTGTAGGTTCACATAGGTTCAAAAATGGGATTAAAAGTTCTGAAAATCGAGAATTTCATATTCAAGCTTTGTTAATTATTTATTAATTTGGTAAGAAACATCTCTATTTTGAACCATCTCGAGACTACGAAATTGAAATAGAAAAATACAGACTAATCTCATATATTAACATGTACTGTTTCGTAGTTGTTTCATCACTAGTCTCTACTATATAATGGCTGCTTTTCTTTTTTTCACTCTTTTTTTTTTGGGCATCCCAAGCTTTAATTTTGCATGCTTGGGCTGCATATTCCTTTCATGTCATTGGAACGAAAACAGGCAGCTTTCCGTGGCCTATATACAAGGAAACGCTATATTTGCTTAAGGAATCCTGTGAAAAGAAAACCATGGGTGCCTAGACTTAATCTAACATTAATTAAATTCCAGGTTTTGAAAAAATAATTACACCTGAAATTTTGATCAAACTTAAAAACAATCTTTTTAAATTGAATTAATTAAATACAAGACAAAACAGTACACGTATATTGACCTTGTACTAACCTTTAATGTTAAATTCAATTATATAAATTATTGAGATAGATTTTTAACTCTGATTGAAAAACAGTACATTCGTGTTTGAAGTACTTGGTCATTTTTCGTTTGAGGAAAATTTATGACTATGAAATAATGGACATGGACCCACAACAACGAGGACATACACCAGTACATTCGTGCTTTTGTCAATTATTTGATCACCGTAACATCCTAGTCCATCCATGTTAAATTTAGGTTAGGTCAAAGTCCTTTTACAAAATAAATATTTTTAAATTAAAGAAAAGTTATTATACATACATATATGTAATCGATGTAATTGCACATTGAATCTTGTTATAATTGATATAATTGCTTCTTTTCAATAACCTCCAATGGGGATGATGCCTACTAAATATACTTTAACAAATAAGTTTTTTTTTTTCCAATTACTTTAACATAGTAGAAGAAAGGATCCTACTTAGGTGAAATGATCCTGAGTAAGTGAGTCATAATCATGTTAATAGGATATGATAGTCGTTATCACTTAACAAATTCTGCCTAAGGTGATCCAGCGCTAAAATTCTAAATAATAGTGTGGAAGTTGTGATTATTTAGGGTTTGAGCTCGAGGTGAGTTTAACCTTACCAGACTTCAATCTCGACTTTATTAGTAGACTTTTTTTGGACTCACCGTGCATGCACACACGTATTTGAAATGTTTAAAAGGTTTATAATTTATTATTATTATTATTATATTAAATATTAATAAGTATTTGAATTTGTAAAATATAATATACATAATCACCAAAATAATATTATAATTTAATAATTGAATCAGTAAAATAAATAATTATAAAAAAATCAATGGCGCATTTGTTTTTTATTCAACACTGCAAAAAAAATATTTATTAAATGTTGAATTAGCTTTCGTTAGTATATTTTTTCATTGAATTGTTAGTATAGACATTTTAAGTTTATATTAACAACATGATATGTTATACAAATAAATGATTTTATTAGTATAGAATATTAGTATATGTTATTAATAAACAAATATTAGTACAATACATTATTTGCTAGTATAGACCCATAAATTTGTTACCAATAATTTAATTTTTGTTAGATAAAGTCTATATTAACAAAAATTATTTTAACACTTAATAAATTTTTTTAATGTTAGTAAATAATAATTTATAATATTTGAACTCTATATTTAACCGGTTCATGGTTTATCCATTTCATTCAGTTCGTTTAATCTACTTTTTTCTTTTTCATTAAACAGTCAATGAAAGAGAGTAATTCTACATCGTTTTCGAATCTTGAGTCCTCCATTTTGAGATAAAATATAATTATTCAAATTAATTGAAGCGAATATGTCATTTGGTGATACCCAATTTAGCCAAACATTATTCTTCTAAAATGGCGCAAATGAAAGAATTAAATCGACGAGTATTAATTAATAAATTATAATATATTATGTTTATTTTTATATTAATAATAATAATAATAATAATAATAATAAAAAATAATGAATCAAAATATAAATAAATCTCAACAAAAAATTACTTCACGGGAACTACTATTCAACCATGTATATCATATGCATATCAATTAAAATTCAATGTAAAATAATTTGAACAATTATTCCGTACTCCAATTTATGTTTTTTTGTTGCTAAACTACTCCATACCGTTTTTAGTGGACCACTTTAATTTTCCTTTTTTATTTTGATAAAGTGTACTTTGGCTTTCCAATTAAATTAATCTTTGTCGTGAAATACCTAATGTCCTATGTTTACTGGCCATCCAGCAATTTGCTTTTAGAGTTCCACGTTCCGGGCATCAACGTAGAAACCCATAATGGCCATGTCAATTCTGTTTCAACTTCACTTTAACAATTTGTGGCTAACTATGAATATCATCAAAAGGCAGAAACAATATGTATACAAGTATTCTGAGGGACAAGGTAGCAAAGCACCAAATGTGGCTGAGAACATAGCTTATTTACCATTTGCTTTTCTGCAGCTAATTAAGCATATAAAATGACAGCTAGCCTAAGCTGTCACAGTAAAACACACAGAAGAAAAAGTAAAGAAGAAATAAAATCAAGGTAAGAATATGAAAATGCTTCTCACCTTAATTAAACATTCCTCATTAAAAAGAGTAAAATTAGGTTGTGGACTTTTAACTCAACCAAGGAATAAACAGGTTAAGTCATGAAAAATCACTAGTCTCTATATTAAGTGACAACTATTTACAATTGTTCGGGGATTTTGAGGGTGTTTTTTTCCCTTTTCTGGCGAGTTTGTATTTATCTCTTGGATCGTAATTTCAACATGATTGACGGTGTTATCAATGTCCACAACAGGTTTTATGATACCCCGATGAAGTAGGGGTGGCTTCTCTGGTGACACATTGGGTTCTAAAATACTCTTGAAATCAGCTAAATGAGAAAGCTCGGAAACTGATTCATAAATTTTCTCCACGGTCTTGGTGATTTCTTCTAGTATTGCTGCAACTGTGGCAACTGGGACTATGCCCAAGAGTTCTACATCTTCCAACGTAACTATTTCTAGTGCAATTTTGAGGTCTTCAACTGCAGTTTTTGATTTTTCTACGTGGCTGTTAGCAAATGATGGGCATGTCATTGTTTTGATTGATGAAGATATTGCCTTCAACGCCTTGTTAGATTCTGAACACATCTTCGCGCATGGCTCCTGAACTTTACACTTGAATTCCGAAGATGCCTACAGTATTCAAAATGCATATAATCATCAGCTTCTAGCTGTTGAAGCTAATATTGTTTTGATAGTCGACGTTGAAATGAAAGGATATTATATATTTCCTGTATTAAACTTATAATGTTAGCTTAAACTAATTTCCTTTTGAAAAAATATTTGTTTTTTACGTAGAAAGAATAGTGATGTATTACTTGGATTTCCGGGTTGAGATATTTGTTAAGAGTCTCAATCTTGTAAGCACATTCTCGAGCAAGTGTTCCAATCTTCAAGTACTGTTTCCAAGGATGACGAAGACGAAAACCACCGTGTCCTGGTTCCCACCTTGCTAAATTTGCCTGTAAATGATATGGAGATATATATATGTATATATATATATATGTGTGTGTGTGTGTGTGTGTGTCAATATATAGCCATCAAATGAAAATGTTGAATGACATCTCAAGAAGCCAAAAAAAAAGCTCACCAAGGACTCCTCGCTTGCTTTGGAATTGAGAACATTTTTATATCCTTCGAGAACTGACTTCTCGGGTTTTTGTTTATCCTCTGAGCAATGAAAATATTCTGCTTCAAATCCTGATGTTGATAAAGAGTTTTAGATATTGACACATATAACTCAAAAAGAAATATGAACTAATGATGGCTCAAATGGTCAGCTTAACTCTACCTTCCAGGTAATTTGCTAGCTTTTCTATGTTGGAAGCTACCAACTTGTGAAGATCTTCACCTGCCCATACTGGACAAATGAAAATAGAGATGACCATGCAAGCTGTTGCACCTATTAAAATTGTTGCAAGTCTCTGATGGGCAAGCTCGAAGAGTTGCTCCACTCTGTACCCCGAGACGGTAATCAAACAGAATGTCAAAATAAAAACCACCACCCCATAGTCATATCTTGCTTTGATCTTTGGAAAAAATCTGAAAAATGTTGACCCTGCAGCTGCAAGAAAGCATAACACACACAATTTAGCTGTGGACATATATGAGACACACACATTGTCTGGGAAGAAATGTTGGCCTCAAATTCATGTGGAGAAATGTAAGCTTCATTTTACTTTCAAATTGTATAGTATTAGTATTATAGTGTAAGTATACCTAGAATGAAGACAAGGATCCCAAGGACAATAGGTTCTGCCCTTTCTCCAAAAGCAGTAGCCAAGTGTTGACCTCCAACCCCTAAAGCACCAGCCAATAATGTAGCACATCCTCTATTTAAACCTTTGCTCAGGGTTGCACCTGGCAGGAACAAAGCATACATTATATACATGTTCATGTGTTACTCTTTAACAAGTCAAACTTTGGTCTTTGGTTATGTAATAAGGAGAAATATATATCTACGATGTCTGAACTTACCTACTGTGAATTCAAATACTACCACCACTGTCAAAACAGCCCACATTCCCGCAACTCCGAATCCATCATAAAGAGGCCTCGAGTAGTAAAACAAGGACACCAATGTGAGAGCAATTGCCACTTTTAATGAGTGAATTACTCTTCTGGGGTCATCTTGTCCAATCTTCTTTATGGTCCTTGTGAAGTTGATAACCATGGCCTTGGAGTTCCTAGGCAAAGCCTTGAGGCTGTTTCCCCATTGAGCAAAAAACCCAGCCTTGTTTGCTTGCATTATTGACTCAATATCCATGAGGATATAGAGTGGAGAACAATCTTGCCAAAAATGTAATGTGTGAGAACGAACAAAATGACAATTATGAAGGGGTGCAAGCTATAGGCTGTGAGAAGGTTGAGGAAAAAAATGCTTTTCAAGATTGATATTTATAGGGACAGAGTACAGCTGTGTCGTGCAGCTGAGATTTTTTATTTTTAATGTCAGATACATGAGTCGTTGTCTTTATGGTTGAAAGAGCCGGGAGAAAGTACTTTATCACAACACAGATAAATTGTTATGATTTAATACAAAACGCCCATGACTCTAAAAAGTATATACTCATAGGAATTCATCTCTCACTGACCAAAATAACATGTACCAAAATATACATAGACAGGAAAAGTTAGGATACATGCTTCCAGCTATGAATAGTTTAGTTCCCAAAGTAGGTTAAACAAAGTTAATTTACAAGTACTCTCCCATAAGAAAGATAAAATATGGTAGTCATTCAGTAAGACAAGTAAATGATACGTATACTTTAGTCAGAGTCAGCCCTGAATCGCTGTATCCCACCTCCTTTTTTTTTCGGTAAATTATATTTTACCTTTATTAAAATGTTTGTCTAAAATATTTCAGTTCTACTTTTGAGTTTTACATTTTATTTTCCACTTTAATTCTCTTATTGATAGGTGGGGTGTTATACTGTAAGACTTACGATTATTGGGTTTACATCAACGTGCCACTTAACTGAATTAATCCATTTACGAAAGAAAATTTAGGGCTTGTTATTAGATTTTGAATCCGTTCAAAGTATACTTAGGATCCATTTATTTTAAAATTTGGTAGAAATAATTTTAATGAAATTCATTTTTAATCACTAAATATAATTAAAATATGTGTCAAATTAATTTCAGTCACACATTTTAAAATATTAGACGTGAATAAGATGTAAAGAATTGATTCTTTATATAAAATAAATACTTTTAATCTAACAAATGATATCATTAATGGAACGTGTCTATTACCGATCGGTCCTCTTTAATTAAATATCTTTATACATTCTTTTTTTTTTTCTCAAAATACCCATTTTATTCATTTTTACTTAAATATTTATTGGTTATCTAAATCTTAATTAATTACACAAATTTTGCCTTAATATTTTTCTGTTTCGCATGTTTTTCTCTTTACAATTGGAAAACATAAGCTAAGGGAAAAAAAAATGAAATAAAACAAATTACCTCACGTAAATAGGAATGCAAGGCGTGCACCCAAGTAAAATCATTTGATAAAGCAGTCAGCTGTAAAAAAATTGAAATAATCTTTTTTGACATTATAATTAGAACATTTTCTGTTCATTCTCATTATAAACTTGTATGAGTGTGAATATAATTTTATGATTATTCTTTTTTACAAAAAGAAATACCAGTAACAAGTTCTTCAAATTATTTAGATAAACCCACGTTAAATTTTTTAAAAAATAAAATGTTATTTAAAAAGTGCATCATTAGCTTTCGACAAATTTGATGAAATGAGGTTAAAGTTGATTTAGCTATTTTGGGGACAAAAATCTTTAGTTCAAATGTTAAAGTAATACTCTGGTTAATTCTCTTAATATATTTCTTGGCTTACAGAAAAAGGTAAATATTAAAGTTACTAAGGAAATAATTAGAAGTGAAAAAAATTATTAAAAATGCTAATGTATCTCTCTCTATAATTTATAGTGTATTTTAATATAATTATCAATGAAATTTGTATTTTCAATTAAGGTACTGGTTTGCAAAATTTTATTAAGATTTTATGAGATTAATTAATTAAATAATTTTCAATTTATAATAAATGTATTAGAAATAAATATAATTTAAAATAAAACTTATTGGGCATATGTTATATACCAAGTGTTAGTAATATAAATAGAAATGATTCATATAAGTTTAAATAATAGTATATTTAACTACCCATTTAGCTTAATGTTTAGCATAAGAATATTTTTTAAAAATTGAAAATGAATAAACCAATAGATAAGGCCACGGCTCACTCAGAAATGCACAAGAAAAGGTAAGTTCGAGGGATTGTCGTTGTGAAATAGACAAAGGAAAATGATTGATATATATATATATATGAAGAATAAAAACTTTCTAAATATATGAAGAATTTAATTTTGATGCATTGATATTGTCAATTAATTAAAATTTATTATAAAAACAATTTTGTGTTAATTAATGTAAAAATTAATAATATAATGATATTTATCCTGACAAAGACCATTACTCTTTTCTAAATTAAATATTTTCACGTTGTACGTAGTAGGAGTTTAAAACATTTTCTACTATTTAAGAGAATAATTCATAATATCTTTCATTATCCTCTCCCCACCACTTTTTCCACAATTTATGTATGGATTCAGTTACTCATATAAGAGATTGTACGTTAAAAAAAATTATAATTATAATTGTTAATTAAAAATTAACTGTTGTATTTATAATTTTATAATTTATTATGTGTGAGTGTTTTATTATAAATTTAAAATTTAATTTTTTAATGAATAGTAATAACTACATGCTCTTTTTTTTTTAATACATCTCATTTAAAAAGTCCATTTTTGCATACATATAATAAACATTATTTGATATTATTCCTCTTATTGTATCTTTCCAAAGAAAAATTTGCATTTATTTAATGCATTGCAAGTGTATTTTTATATAAGAGTAAAGTATAAAAATATAAACTTTAAAATGTCATTTAACTGGTAATAAAAAAAAAATACAACTGCAAATATAAAATATAGATATACAAATTTTTAAATTTAATAAATGTTAAATATTAGTTTGATTAATCAATAAAATATCTAATATACGTGTGTATATCTACATGTATACAATAAAAACCTCGTCTTTGAAGCTTCTAAAAACCTACACATATGTGGCGAAATAGTTTCTCTCAGGTGCTCCCCCCCCCCCCCCCCCCACCCTCTCCTTTTCCCTATTCAATTCATATGTACATTAAATATATGTAGTTTGATTAGAAAGTGGGAAAATGACGAAGCATACATAGTCAGCCATTACAGTGGATATTTAAAAAAGGGGAGAAACAAAAACCTTAAATAAATCGACCAACCATAGGGCTTGAAAAAGGGAATGAATATATATTTCTCTTTCCTTGAAAAATGGTATTCTGGTCCTTTTTTCTACTAGCAGATTTAACTTCTAGTAGCCACATGTTGATCAATTAACTACTTTATAAACAGATTTTCAAGTTCATTCTGACGTAAGGATTTCATGCCTATAATTAAGCGCATCAATATTGCTCGACTGAAGAATATAGAAATATATATTTGAGTTTTGAATTGAAATAACTCAGCAACCTGTTCATCAACACATGAAATTAATGTCATCTTGAAACAAAAATAAAGAACCAACGAATTAAAGTGTGCTTCACATCCAACAATACTTTGTGTATTCCTGCATGCGGATACAAAAGAAACGAGACAGAAGAAAAAAGGATAAGGCAGAAGAAACATGTTTGCATCAGCACTTTTGAATCTCCAATAAGGCCAATTAACATTATTGCTTCTTCTTTTTTTGTCATAATAGCTAGCTAATAAAATTCACAATAAGCACAAGGGAATAAGCAATTAAAAAATGGAAAGTAGAATATAAGCAAAACAAGTTATTAAACATTTGATAATGACCCATCCACACATTATCTCTTTTCATTTATGAACTTAAAGCAATTACATAAAGAAAAGAACTTTCTGTTATCTTCACTACACTGGGAATCATTTTCCATTTTTTTTACTTCATTATCCGACTAAGCTGATCATATAATTGTTTAGTCATGTGTGTTGATTCAGTAGATGTGTCAGCTGCCACTAGTGAGTAGGATCTGACTCAGTATTCTTTCACTATATTTTCCTTTTAAATGAGAACGCTCCAAATATTTTAAAGTTATACTCCTTACCAGGTTTGGAAAATGAAAATGACCAAACTAATTTCATGTTAGTGTCTTGTTTATGTGGAAGAAATATCCATGCTAATCGTCCAAGCGCTACAGGCTAACATTAATCTTTCCGGCTTAAATCATTTAAACTCAAGTTTGGACGAATCAGTGAAATGTTACATTGCTTAAATATAAAATGAGTTTAAATGTATTTTCAGTCCATGTAATTTAATTTGATTTTGGTTCTAGTTCTCATAGTTTGAAAGTTCAATTATTATTCTTATAGTTTTACAGGTTTAGATTTTTATTTTTTATACTTTTAATCTGTTTTTATTTTAATCCTTATAAATTTGTTTTATTTAGATTTTGGTCCTTTCAATATACCAAATAATTCAAATGGTTATACATTACAGAGTAAGAATTTTGGTATATTACTGATGTATATAAGAAAATATTATTTTTTTAAATTATAGAAATAAAAATTTAAGTAAATTATAGAACCTAAAATTTGTATCTAAAACTATATAGAGAACAACTTTATATGGTTAATAGGAGGCCAGGGAATCTTCAGAAATGGAAACGGCAAACTAGAAACTAGTGCAGTATATTGTGATGTCCTAAATTCGACTTCATGTCAGTACTTAGCCCTTGCTTTCTTTTCAAATAAAAACACTTTATATATAGTTATAGGAATCGCTGAATGGCCTGAAACTCACGTTGCAAATGGAAAAAAATCTATTTGATTTTACTTATTTTGATTTTCACTGATAAACAATGCAAGGCGCGATTATATACTACGGCTAGAATATCCCATAGTAGAAAAAGACATGGAACAATTGAATCTCACCATAGAAGATGAAGATCCAAGTCCTATGCCTGCATTCTAATATGCAATAGCAAAATTTAAATATTTAAAATAAAACTCTTTTTTTATAATCCATGCTTTCAATTCTGCCATTTGTTTCAATGAATAACATCTTGACAACGCGCAAGAAAAAAAATGACATCCTCTTAATATGAAATTATATTTGTGATGAGGTAGGCCTACGTACACTAACGAATTCAATAGCGATAGCTCCTTTCAAATAACTTGTTTAGTC